GCGGGCACACTACACTTTTCGTTCCATTGACTTCCATTCATAGACCAGAAACGCAAGACCATGCGAAAAGTTGTCGCATTTCGCTGCGCTCCAAAGTTCAAACTGGTGAACTCTGGACTGCGAATTCGCATCACATGATACCGTGTGACCAACGGCAGATCGATACGTCACAGCATGACTCAAAATATTACTCAAAAGTAGTGTAACGCATTACAATTCAGAGACAGTCATATTGTAATGTAACTAATTACTTTCAAAATACAGTAACTAGTAATATATAATGTATTACATTTTGGAAGTAACTTGCCCAACACTGATTAGCACTTGTGAAACTGGCATCACGTTCTCTGACACGTGAGCTCGGAAAAAAACGATAAATATGGCTTAAATACCACAAACAGTCTCATTCAGTAAATAATAATATACACATACTCAAAGTGACTTAAAGTTTACAATATTATACACCAATATCGCTATTTAACCATCTCTCATATGCATTCACTGGCGCCGTATGGATGATGCAATACACAATGCGTGTGGCGCACATACGTGATTATAATTAGCAACTAGCGATAACACAAACTTATGCCTTCAAAATACAGCAATTTAAAGATAATGAATAACATAAACAATCACTCACTTGTGTATGAATGCACTCAGTAGAAAACAACAACAGCGAATAATGTCCGTGCTCTGAACTGCTCTGAACTGTTAATACTGTTAAAGGGATCGTTAAAGGGAAATGCTGAGTCATCAAAGCAATACCTCTTAAAGTCACAAGGGGGCACTAATGTCTCTCTCTCCTCTCTCTCTCTCTCTCTCTCTCTCTCTCTCTCTCTATATATATAGCCGGTGCCATGACGTGAAAAGAAGAAGCCGTCGTGTTTATAACTGTGACGACGAGCGCTTATCAGGATCAACTAAATGCTGGATTCTCAAAGTATGTAAAATATTTACGTTTGCAGCACAGAATCTTTCAAATACGTCCGAGGGTTTTACTCGCTGGTCTGTTATTGAGGCAACGTTTCCATGCCCCGAAACGTGCTGCTGAATGAAACTAACTGTGATTGGTTGTTTGACAAAGAAAGCTGCCATGAATTCCAGACCTTCAGCCGTCAGTCTGAATGTCTGGCTACACGAGACTAATTTTTATAGCACTACAGCACAGATTTAAGCAGCAGGAAATAACAACCATGGTGCAAACGGAATCATTTCTGCTGTGGTGTCTAGTCATATTGGAAATATGCTTGTTCTTAAGCTACCTGGTCGTTATTGGGAACATGCTTGTCTGAAAGCTGTAGTATTGGGAACATGCTTGTTCTTAAGCTCGGTTGTTATTGGGAACATGCTTGTTCTTAATTTATAGTTGTATTGTTGGGAACACGCTTGTCCCAGAGCTATCTGGTTGTTATTCGGAACATGCTTGTTCTGAAAGCTGTAGTTGTATTGGGAACATGCTTGTTCTTAAGCTTGGTTGTTATTGGGAACATGCTTGTTCTTAAGTTATAGCTGTATTGTTGGGAACACGCTTGTCCCAGAGCAATCCGGTCGTTATTCGGAACATGCTTGTTCTGAAAGCTGTAGTCGGCAAAGGAGAAGTGCTCACTAACACAGATTTAGACAGATTTGTGAACAATATTTGAGAGAAATAGGCCTTTTGTGTACATAGAAAATGTCTTAGATCTTTGAGTTCAGCTCATGTAAAATGGGGGAAAAGACAAAAGTGTTGCGTTTATAATTTTGTTCAGTGTACATGCGTGCTTTTTTGTAGTTATACTTTGCAAAAGTGAGGCAACAGCAGGGTGTGAAAATGACCCCCAACTGTGCCTTGGGGATGGGGGACAGACAGCAAAGCTTTGCAGGGCCATGCACAGGTGTCTGTGTGACCTGTCTGGCCTTTGATCTTTTGCTCTTTTTGAGTAGATGAGAGATTTTGAATTGATTGTAGATCCAAAAAAACAGTGTCTTCACTAAAATGTATTTATCTATTTATTGAAAAAAAAAAAAGTTAATTCAGATGTTGTTATGCATTTATACTTGTCCAATTTTAAGTTCTAACAGATACTGTAGTGGCATAGTGAAATAAAACCCATATTTTGTGATAAAATTAGCCCCCTTTTGCCAAATAATGAATTAAATACCTTAGCCAACATATTCCTTATATATTTTTGTAACGTCTGCTTAGGATCATTGAGGGTCATGGGGGCTTTATGTCTCAGAAACAGTTTCAGCCTTTTGACATTTGCATATAAATTACAGTCCTGGCCCCAGATTCTACATTTATATGGGTGCTAAATTACCAATGGTTCACCCCATTATCAATTAGAGGCTAACCAGATCAACTCTCTGGTCTCCCCATCAAGTTCAAACACATTCCAATGTCCTAAGAAACAGTCAGCCACAGTACCTGGCACCAGATGTCTGATGGCCAGCGAACTACCCCCCATGCTGGCAATACACATAACACACACACACAAAGACATTTTCTTTATTTAGACTATAATTAATCAGTTACAATTGTATCTGGTATATGCATGTGTTGTTTGTATGCTTCCCTATTATATTAGCCTAGTTAGACTCTCAATGCTTATATTCAGGTATATCAGTGTATATCTGCTTTAAGATCTTCTAGATGTTTCGTTCTTGGTATCAAAATGATCTGCTCTTTATTCCTCAAACAATGATGTACACTATGTGATCGTGAAATGCATCATACTATTTGTACCATATTTTGGGTAAAACTGCACCAATCCTCCAGACCAGCAATAAACATGCAAATGGTGGGTGTGGATAGGAACTTTCAAAAGTCATTAGCTCAGACTAATCTTGGCTCAAAACTTTTCTTTTTGAGACGGACACTATCCAAGACTCCTCAAAACTCTTCTCGCGTTTGATTTTCCGGAAGTTTTTATCTTCAAGTAACTTTGTCGATCCGCTGTGGACTTTACTATCTTCAGAAGAACCAGGAAAACCTCCAGCTCAGTTCTAAAAGAACTCATCAAGAACCTCCGTTGTCTACCGTATCAGGATTCTTGTTCAGCAATGAAGCCAATGCAAGTAACCGTTTACAACTAGATGCGTGTTTAAGTTTGATCCCCTTTTAAGGTGATTTTTGATTCTTTGATGATTCTCATTAGGTTGTGGTTAATTGATGTGAAATACTGCCATTCTTTTGCTCTCCTCTCTCGCTTCCTTACTTTTCTTCATTCTGTATATATGCGTTTTGCTTAGTCTTGTTGTATGTTTGCTGTAGTTTCATTTATTAAATCCCTTATATTCACAATTGATTGTCTCTGTGTGCTGCTCACAATTCGGAATCACTGAATGTTGAACCTTGCTACATGCTAAGTTAATGCTAGTACTGTATGAAGGAAAGTTATTCTTTCTTGGCCAGGAAAATAATCTTTCCTTGAATTGATAAATGATTATATTGTCTGCTCGGTGGTCGGACAGATCAAATAATTGTAATATTGATTCTGCTACAGTTAATTCTAAGATCTAATCTAAATATTTATTATTAATCATAACCAATTATAATTAATTATAAATATTTCTCTTTTGAGCTAATTTGCTACATTTTGATGGTTTAATTAAACTTGTAGGGTCAATAAAAGCAAATATTGTGCAAATGTCCCCTTGGACATCACTTTTGGCCACTACTGTAGATCTGACAAGTGTATTTGTGTGTTTTAACACACATATACTTATTTTTGTCTTTTCTGTATATAGGCACAATGCCCGAATAAAGAGGCCTTTTACTGCTCATTTGGTGGCCCCTGAACAGCTCCCACCGGTACTGCCAAAACTACCAGAAGCAATCCAGCATGGACACTCATCCTTTGAGTTTGAAATACCTCAGGATGCTTCCGGACAGGCAGCACCGCGTTCTCCAGTGGGTTTGACACCAGCACCTCAAGTCCCTTCTGCCACTTCTGCCATACCTGCCTCCGCGTCTGTACCTGCTGCTGCACATACATCTACCGCAGCTACCGCAGCACCTGCCACGCCCATATCTGTTGGTGCGGTGCCCATACCTGTTGTAGGAGCACCTGTACCAGTTGCAGCACCAGACGAGAAGAGGGTGCCCAGCACCACAGCGTGGCGGCAAAAGAAGCTGGCAGAGGCAGCAGCAGCTCAAGGTTTGAACCCTAAAAAATGACATACCTCAGCAGTTCCTCTGCCCAAAAGTGTGGCCAGCCAAAGACTAAGGAATTTGGCCACAGCCAGTTCCGGGGTTTCCACTTCTGTGCAAAGGCTTCTGGGAAGACTGTGGCACAGTGGATGGAGGAAGTCAAGAGAGGAGAGACAAAATAGACAAGGACACAATTTATATGTTGTAAAGATGTTTATTTTGTTTTGAATAAATAATTGTATATAATATAGAATAAATATATCAATGTTTTAGTTCATATATGTATGTATAAATAAACATATATTTTCCTTTTTCTAATGCCTGTGTACATTTCTGCTTTATATTTTGTGACAGTACTACTACAGCACATGGCTACTTAATATGCATTTGTCATGCCCCAGGAAGCACATGGCTACTTATGCCAGTCTCAGGTACCTTGCTCAGCCCACCCCCAAGGCCCGCCCCTTAATGATGCCAAATTCACTGATTTCTCTCATTTTAGCAGAATGAGCACCCCACAACAACACATGTGACCCCATTGGGGTTTTGAGGTCACCAACTTGGAGTTCAGGGCCTTGGAAGGCTCCCAGGGGCCCCTGGGGGCACAGGGTGGCCACAGAGAAGATCCATCAGGTTCCTAAACCCAAATATGAAACCGATCTTCGGGGATGTATTGCGATTTGTTTCACCCGCCCCCCGCTCGGATTGGCAACCGGACGAATTGTTTCACCATGTCCCGCCTCCGCTCCCCTCGCCCCATTGGCCGGCCGAGGAATTGTTTCAGGCCCCGCACTCGGATTGGCCACCGGACGAATTGTTTCGTGCCCGGTATCCCCTCGCCCCATTTGTTCTCACGAATTGTTTCAGAGGCGCTCATTGCTCCCATTGGCCGAGGCCTCGCCGCCGTCGACTCGAACATCATTCGCTCTGTCAGAATCCCCCGGAACAACACTATCTTGCTGTTTTTCTTCTGCGATTTCGTCAGTTTAAACCCACAAAACACAAACGTTTTTTTAAAAAACGCACTTCCGCAATTTATTCAGCAATTTTGCCCCACGATCGGAATTTTTATACACCAATTCTGCATTTTCACTACCCTGAAAATTTTGCGGATCACGTGAGGCAACGTATTTTACCCTTTCTCACATTTTATTTGTATCGTTTTTTTAAAATAGGCATAAGCATTTTATCCATGTGCAATGCATGCAGAAGAGGCGGGAGAAAAAAATTGGGGTAATACTGAGTCGTTCTTAAAGTTATGACTACGTTTAACCCCGCCTAGAACATCAACCCTCTACATTGCGAGTAAATCACTCGCATATGCGACTAAATTATGTGTAATATTAGCCAATTGCTAATAAATTCTCAGATTTTACTCGCCAGTGTGTGAGTTGGAGGCTAAGTATAAGTTTAGCTCAGATATATTTTCACTCGCCGAACACTCTCTGACTGAGCGCTTCAGAGTTTCACTCTCCGCCAAGCGATCTGTGCTGTTTTTCAGTTCATCTCAATGGATGTGCAACGCACCTGTGTTTAACGTACCGTAAACTCTAGTGTGAAGGCGCACGACTCGCCGTCGCTTTGTTTATCATCTTAT